GGTTTTTTTTTTGAAAACGTTAGGAACTGTGATATAAACAAATATTTGGGGTCGTGACATAAACATGTCCCTGGATGGCCATGGGACCGTCCTCCGGAAGATCCGGAACATCCGTAAAAGTGGACAATCCATGAATCTGATCCTAGAGCTCCGTGTTTTTTTAACATTAGGATCTGTGATATAAGAATGAATTTGGGTCATGGACCAAGTCCTCCGGAAGATCTGTGAAAATGAACCTGGATGGCCATTGGAACGTCCTCCAGAAGATCCTGATCATCCGTAAAAGTGGATCATCGATGAAACTGTGAAAAAACCGTGTTTTTTTTCGAAAACTCTTGCAACTGCGATTTAAGATAGAATTTAGGGTCGTGACATAAACATGGATCCGGATGGCCAAGAGACTGTCCTCCAAAAGATCCGGAACATCCGTAAATTTATCATACTGTGAAACTGATCCTAGAGCTCTGCAGTTCTTTTTTAAACACTGTGATATAAGAAACCTCTGGACCACTTTTACGGATGTTCCGTATCTTCCGGAGGACGGTCCTATGGCCATCCAGGTCCGTGTTTTTTCATCTTTATTATGGAGACTTTCAGCCCTGGGCTGGTTCGTCTCCAGTACGTGTTTATGTCATGACCCTGAATTCTTTCTTATATCGCAGTTCAACATGCTTTCGAAAAAACCGTAGGACTCTAGGATCAGTTTCAAAGATTGACCATTTTTAAAGATGTTCTAGATCTTGCGGAGGATGGTCCCATGGCCTTCTAGGTACATGTTTATGTCACGACCGCAAATTTATTTATATATGACAGTTCCAAGTGATTTCGAAAAAACCGTGGAGCTCTAGGGTCAGTTTCATACAATGACCACTTTTACGGAATTTTTAGATCTTGCGGAGAACGTTCCGATGGCCATCTGGGTCCATGTTTATGTCACGATCCCAAATTCATTCTAATATCGCAGCTCCTAACGTTTTCAAGAAAACCACGGAGCTCTAGGATCAGTTTCGTTAATTTTCCACTTTCACGAATGTTCCGGATCTTTCGGAGGACGGTCCCATGGACATCCAGGTTCATGTTTATGTCACGACCCTAAATTCTTTCTATCATCACAGTTCTTAATTTTTTCATGAAAACCACGGAGCTCTAGGATCAGGATCGTGGATTTACCACTTTTACGGATGTTCCGGATCTTCCGGAAGACGGTCCTATGGACATCCAGGTTCATGTTTATGTCACAAGCCCAAATTCTTTCTATCATCACAGTTCCTAATGTTTATAAAAAAACGCGGAGCTCTAGGATCAGAATCGTGGATTTACCACTTTCACGGATGTTCCGGATCTTCCGGAGGACAGTCCCATGGCCATCCGGGTCCATGACCCAAATTCATTCTTATATCACAGATCCTAATGGTAAAAAAAGGGAGCTCTAGGATCAGATTCATGGATTGTCCATTTTTACGGATGTTCCAGATCATCCGGAGGACGGTCCCATGGCCATACAGGTACATGTTTATGTCACGACCCCAAATATTTGTTTATATCACAGTTCCTAATGTTTTCAAAAAAACCGCAGAGCTCTAGCATCAGGATCTAGGATGTTCCGGATTTTTCGAGGACCGTTCCGTTGTCTCCAGGATCCATATATAGGAACCATGACTGTATTCTGGCTAATTGTGAACATTTGTGCCCATTAATCTAAATTACAGATCTTGCGCCACTTGCAAAACCCTACAAACACACCTTTTAAAAAACGTGTAACAACTCTTTTCGCTTTTTAAAAAAGTAGACGACTCTATTTTCAAGTTTTTTGCAATCAAAATCATCTAGAAACCCTAGGAATTCTAAAGGTACAACATTTTTTGAAATTCATTAAGAAATGGCTAAGTTGTGCTTGCAAACATGCCGTTACACGTTTTTCGGAGGCATCGTGTTCGGAGTGTTAAAAGTTCCATTAGAGTACAGCAGTTGAAATTGAACGAAGGGCCTTTAGTGCGACAATACTAATCATATGCGCACTCTTTTGTCTAGCTCCCTTGGTGGATGAGGGGATTTTAAGGTATTTCCTCCATTCCACTGGAAAAAAAGCGAGCCCCACACGTTTCAATGTATTGACACGAAGGGGAATTATTGACAATAGTATTGATGATGTGAACACAGAAATATTTTCAATTTCGATGTATTGATGTCAATATAGAATGTATTGACAATACGATTATTGTCAATAAAAGCTATCGTGTAGGGTCTACTAAAAAGTGCGCGTTTGCCTTACTCATATACTGTCTGCGGTTGTGTGTTAAACGTCGTTAGAACTTTTACACAGTCGCGTTTGACTTGCTCATATACTGTGCAAGTCAAACGCACACTCATTTCGCTGTGGATTTGAGGAAATACCGCAAAATCCCCTCACCCACTAAGGAAGCTAGGCAAAGGAGTGCGCATTTGATTAGTATTGTCGCATTAATGGCCCTTCGATCAATGTCCACTTCTGCTCAATTTTTACACTGCCATACTATACTCTAACGCAACTATCAATCTATCCTCTTCAGAACTTTATCTTGTTAATAAATTATCGCACTAAAGAGCAGTTCCTATTAACAACACTAGTCTATGATTCCTATGTAAAATCGTGCGCTGATCCAAAAATGTAGTCAGAAAAAAAAACTCAGAAGGATTGTTTTCTAGATACAGCTAATTAATAAAATTTCACTTAAAAAAGTTTGTTTACAAAAAAACCCATTATCTCTGCCAAATTAAAGGTGAAAATTTTTTGTTTCGATCAGCTGAACATCATTTGTTGTTAATTTATCGTTTGTTTAATTTTTTAATGTTTTGCATATTTTCAAAAAAAAAAATCGATTTCAGCAAAGTTTTTAAGCAAGGTATATACAAATGTTTGTAGTGGTTGTACAAACAATACACCTAATCTCACTGAAAAATGGTTAATAGCCAATTTTGTCATTTTTAATTTGGCATTAAAATAATTGATATTGTTTCATTACAGTCGGAGGTATTTGTATTTTAGTAAACAAACTTTTTTTAGGTGAAATTTCATTTTTTATGAGATTTTTTTTGACTAAATTTTTGGATTAAGTGCACGATTTTACATGGAAAATGACCATCATCGTACAAAGTTCAAATATGGTGGAAACTAGTGCTATTGACACTTGAAAATTGAGATAAATCAAATTACCAGAACTTTTGATCAAATATTTTATCTCTTTGCTGGTGCGCTGTTTTAAATAATGTCTTCATTGGTAACAATATTTGAGATATTTTAAATGGTTATGCAAAATATCTTAAAAAACCGTTTAAACAAGAAGTTTAAAAACATTATCAAACATTAATGTTCTACGATTTTTGTGAATTTTTAAGTCCCCAAAGTTTTAAATTTTCCAAAACTTTGCATTTTTTATAAGCTTTATTAATAAAATAATTTATAAATATGGAAGTTATTCTTGTTGTGATATTAAAGTTTTTAACACTTTTTTGGAATTGTCATTCAAAATTATAATAAATTAGCTATACAACTTTGTCTCAGACGTCATTTTGATCAGAAATTACTTTTTCGTGCAACAATTTATAGAAAAATGACCACGATGTTATTTTGAAAATAAAATCAAAATTCGCCGACACACAATCATCCATAGTTTCATGCAAATCAGAGAAGATCCAGTCGAAATTGTTGTTTTTTTATCCTTTTTGGCCTGGCACTGATCTAAATCTTCATGTATAGCGTTTCCTCCCAACGCTATAGCCCAAGTAACAATTTTGGTTTTATGAAGGTTCTGTAGACCATGATTTAGACTTGCAGAATGCTATAAAAGCTCTATAAAGCTTGCAATGTTACTTGGGAAGCTTTAGTATTTTGTTATTGATTAGAAGTCGTAAATGCCGGGATTTTCTGACGCATAAGAAGTAAAACCGTTGGTCCCCGGTCTATGAGTTTGATGGGTCGATAGGTAGGGTCCAGGTGTGGAAGCTGCCTCCCTGGCGTCGGTAGTATTGGTACTCAGTACGAAAAACAAGATCGGCGGAAAACAAATCAAGAAGATGGTATTGAATCAATCATGCGGGAACAAATTTCTGATATTATTTCAGGAAAATCCATATAATTTTTGTTGGCATCAAAATCATCATTTTGAATGGCTGACATATTTTGTCCTCTCAGGTTACACTGCACATTTCACTGCTTTATGTAAAACTGTTTATGGGGTTGTTAGGGTAGGTATCGCGGATAGGCCTATAAAGTGTTTTGGGGAAAACTAAGGTGATGCTCATAAATCTAGATAAAAATTTCAAACTGTCCTATCTGCATTGATCGGTTTTCTTCATCGTCTTTCTTTCTTTAATAACCCTACTTTAAAATCATTCCCTGTTATCAAACTGTGTGGCAAAAATAATACGAGATTTGTTTGCGTAGGTGTGGTTATCAAAAGAGAAGGTCGATTAACAGAATCGAGCAAAGCAGATAGGACCTTTTGAAATGTTTATTGAGAAATACAAATACAATCAATGAGATTAAGCCAAGTCGCACTTTTTCGTCATGAATCGTTGAAGCAACTTCTCACTGAAGGTTCCACTGCTTTTTTGTTTCGAGTGTATTACTAGGGCGATTAGCTTGATCTTTGTAAATGCATTTTCAAAAGTGCAACGTATTCGATTTGAGAAGATAGAAATCAGCACAACATCACATGAGCATTGTAGCAATTTTATAGTTATTTCCATACAAACCTTCATTGTTGTTGTGGCACCTTAAAATGTCAAGTATTTTTTGCTGATCTTAAGACATAGCTGTTTAAATCCTGCAGGACAAAATGCATTGTCCAGTCATTTTTCACAACCAAACGTGCAAAAATCTATGATCTTTGGTCGCATTATAGGAATAAATTACAGAGAAAACTTCCGCTACATAGATGAACGTTACGCCATTCGTCGATAGCCCCCTAGTGTTCCCCAGAAAACATCTAATTTCCCAATGATTACCACTATTTTTTCAGCCGCATGACGAGTCCCCGGTCCCGACGAGGTGATCTGATTAGCAATCGAAATCCTCAGTCCCCAGGCTCGGTAAGCCCCAGTGTACATAGTTCCGAAGAACGGCCTAGAAGTCGCGCGACTTCCCATCAGCCTTCCAGACCGCAGTCACAGCCCTGTCGGACAGGTAGGTCGAAACCTGCATTGCAGATGTCCAGGGCAGTTAATTAATTCATTGATTGATGGTAGAACTTTTTGCAGGTCCCCCCTGTGACTCGCTTACCCATATCGAATCGTCCGGTGCGACGCCCCTGCTAGGGTCCCACGAAGCCCTGGAAGGGGAAATCAAGCGGTTGCGCGAGCGGCTGCATACCGTCGAATCGGAGAATTTCTCGTTAAACGCCAAACTAGCCCAGCAACAGTGGGAGGTGGAACACCGCCTGGCGGAGATCGAGATGCAAATCTGTGGTGCTTCGTCCGCGTCCAGCATGAGTCAGGAGAACGAAACCGAAGACCTGGAACGGAACCGGGAGAGTATCATATAACACGGAAGCGAGCTGCCTCATAAAGTTGCCCTGGTGTATGTGCGATGCATGACTTGAATGGCGTACCATTGTTCGTTTCTTTTCGTGGTGGTTGTGTGAAGATATCGGTGAAGCACGCTGTAAGCGGAGAAGACAGGAAGATCGTTCGTTTTTGTTTTGGGTTAAACCATCAAGATTTCTACGTTGTTCTTGCGAAGAGCAGGTTCCAGTGCGGACTTTTGCTTATGTTTCGTTTGTTGAATATACCTACTATTGGAGAATACATTTCGTGACACAGCATTACGGGTCATCTTTGACAAAGGCAGCTACTCTAGAGAACTACGGAAGCGCGCAGAGAGAATCTTCTTGGAAACCGGGAAAGACGGGCGGGGTCGTTGTTGCAAAACCGAGAAGGTTACCGAATCTGTTAGAATACCGAAGATGCAAATCGAACAACACAAATACATTTCTGTTCAGTTAGTAACTAGCATTACCAATAGTACGTTGAAAAATGATAGTGTCACTAAATCGGGTACTAAACGTTGGAGAAGACAAGTGAGATTACTGTTAATGAACCACTATTCGTGCTCTGTATGATAGCCAGATCATTTTGTGAGAATTTCTAGAACGGAATCGTACCAAAACAAAATATAAAAAAAAACTTAGCTCTTTGTAAAAAAAATTAAAGTAACAAAGCAAATGAAAGCAACCAAGCAACAAGTGAGATCGTAGTACGATTAACCTATGAAAATTCGTTATTATCGAACGATGTAGATTTTTTACCACTAGCAGATGAGTTAGAGAATTGACGACAAAGCGATTCAACTACCAAATTGTTGGGAATGTTAAGGCAGCACCGGCGACCGGTTTGAATTGAATTTTATTTAATGTTACATTCAACGGTGCAAATTTTATTGCTTTGTTAAGGAGTCCCGGTGTGGCCACAACTACAGAAAAGCATTCACTCAACGATTGATCGAAAAAAAACCCTCCCAGAGGAGATAATTGTGAATATTTCACTGTAAACATATAACTGAACTACTTGATAAGGTAAAGCCCTTTTTTAAATATCCTCACAGATGAGCCGTGCATTACGAACAACTATTAGGATCAACCGCGGCATCATGGGACAAATAAATCTTTCATCGTCATCGGACTTTCGTTTCATCCCGAGTTTTGAGATTCAAATTACTCCTTTTTAAATTTTGATACCTAGGATTACGGTCGCCGAATGAGGCAAGTTTTATTCGTTATATTCCAGTTATTTACCATTTATGTAAGCGTTCAGAAGCGCTAGGAAATACCAAAAAAAAAAAACACGATGAAAAATCGATTCACTTCTCACCCTATCGAAATTCACCGAATGATCAACAACGGATAGAACAAATTTAAATCTTATAAAAATATCTAAATCACTGCAAATTTGCAATCGTATTTAATTTCTCCATCCAATTCGTATTTTTAACTTGACGAACGGAAAGAAAGTGTAGATAAGAAAATAAAAACACTGCACCGTTGCGGAAAACCTCCAATGGATGGTTTGGTGAGCGTGATCGAGATCATATAGAAAAACTACAGGATACATTAGAATGATTTAAAATGAAAAGAAAACCAAGTTTTCGATGTTTTTTTTTTGGTCAAAGAAAAAGCTTCAAAAGCTCCATTGCTCTTTTGTTCCCAAAGATGGTAATGTCGTTGTTTGAGAGTTTGAAAGTGTAATTTTTGTTTGACTCGGAAATTGTATCTAAATAGCTGCCTAACAAAGTACATTTGCTTTTACTAGAACAGGTTGCAGGTTGAAAAACTACGTTTCAATTTGTTTTCATTCTGCATTTCTTGACAAATATTACCATTTACTATAACTCCAGACATGAAGCAGTTTCTTTTCGATTAACCCACTGAACCAGTGCTGTGGTTGTGGATAAACGAGGGTAGTCGGCGACTACTTACTAGGGGTGAAAAGTATCCTTCTTGGGAATGATTTTTTTTTTTATATTCGCTCGATACACTTATTCCAGCGATTTCCCAACTTCATGATTCCGACCGAAAAGTAATTTTCCGGAATGTCTGCAAAATACTCCACCGTGGTGTCGATTATTTCCTCACGTGAGCTGAATTTTTTTATTGATGAGCCATCTTTTGAGGTTTGGAAAGAGATAATAGTCTGAGGAAGCCAAATTGGGCGAATATGATGGATGCAAAAGAGTTTTTTTTTTAGCTGCATGTGAGGCCGTTTTGCAGCGATTTCGGCCTTCAAACGCTCCAATAATGCACAGTAATACTCGCTGCTGATGGTTTTTCCTTTTTCGAAGTAGTCCACGAAGAGTATGCCATGACAATCCCAGAAAAACGACGCCATAACCTTTCCGACCCATCGATCCTCCCTCGGCAGCTTCGGACCACTCGTGCCGGATTCTGTCCATTGCCGGGCACTCATTATGTTCTCTGGGGTGTAATAGTGGATCCAGGTTTCATCAACAGTAACCAATCGACGCCAAAAGTCCACCCGAATCCGCGTCAGCAAGTCTAAACACTCTTTCGAAGTGCTCTCGCGTTCGTGTTTTTGGTCAGGAGTGAGCTTGCGCGGCACACAGCGGCAGGATAACTCTTTCATATGCAGAATATCGCCCAAAATATGGCGTGTGCACTCAGTACTAATCTTTGGGGTATCTGCTACCTCGCGCACCTTCACTTTCCGGTCTTCTTCTTCTTATTTCCTTTATTTAACGTCGGTCTCTGTTCCGCAATCTAGTGCCAATCACCGACGGACATCGATTGCCATCTATTGACGACAATCGAATGTGCAGGAAGGCAGCTTCCACACCTGCGTAGGATATCGCACCCATTCACAACACACATGGGCCGGGACCAACGGCTTTACTTCCCTTCCGAATGAAGACGTGACCAGAGATTTTTATGCCTCAGAAAAATCCCACCGACCTTGGCTGGGATTGAACCCAGACCCATTGGGGTGTTAGAAAGCAGTCACGCTTACCACTACACCACCGGCGCCGGCTTCACTTTCCGGTCTGCCAACACCATTTCATGCATTTTTATTTTTATTTTGGTGACATTGTCCTCTGTAACCGGATCGGAGGGCTTGCCGCTGCAAACCAAACTCTCGAAACCAATATTTGACGGTGTAATCTGACGGAGCATTAGCATATAGGTAACTCTAAAACTAGTAGGTCCCGAAGAAAAGTGCTCAACTTTTTGGCTCAGCTGGTAGCATAGGAAAATCCACGAACCCCTCATTTTATCTGTCAAACTTTCATAGCGAATCAAAACAAACATTGTGTAGTTCTAGAATTTTGACTAGAATGGGGTACGTTAAACGATTTGCTTGGGATCAATAGGTTAGTCAAGTAGTGAGCCATTTTCGCCGTTTTACCTCTCAAAAAATAATGTTTTAAATCGTTTAAAATCGTTTTTATCCATACTCAACATGATGGCAAACACGTCAACAACAATCAGCTATCAAAACAAAACTAAAGACAGTATCGCACTGAAATTTGGCATGTCTGCCTAAATATAAACGGACTACAAGGCACCATAACCTTTTTTGCAGAAGCAGCGCATTCTGGCAGTCAAAGAGGTTACCTTTCACCCCACCGAGTAGCTCCAAACTGAAACAGCAATCCAATCCAATAACTAGCGTCTCTGATATTCATGTTCAGGTGGAAAGAAAGGAAGAAGGAAGGAACGAACCGGGTTTGGTAAAGGAGATGATTGAGATCAAAATTCTTGCGTCACTTTTCAAACGGTCCTGAGTAACCAATGTAAACAAACCAAGTGAAACGATACAAACGATTGCTCTTCTATCATCTTATGTGATACAAAAACACCCATCCAAATTTACTTTAATTTATATAAGGTAATCGTAGGTCAAAAAGTGTCCAATGTACAGTTTGAAATGATGGGTACATGATAGTTACTTCGGTCATTCGGACTGCCTAACATGATTGGTGCTCATTTTCTAAAGGCGGAGCCAATCTAAAGTTAGGTGCTCTACTCTGAAATCTGTGAAAGGGAATCTAGTATAATGTAGAAGAAAGGTCTAAGATTTTATGACAAGTAATGCATTTGGTATAGGAAAAAAGTCATGATAGGGGAGGGGGGGAGAGGGGGTAATTTTTTGCTCGATGTAGCGTGACATAATTAATGCATGGGCCCTTTGGAATGTACTCACTCACTTGAGAATCATTCGGATTCACTTTTAAAAGTAGCTAATCACTTCGTAAAAGTTCGGAATCACTTCGAAGAGTGCTGAATCATTTCAGAGAGCACTCAATAACTCATATAAAGTTCCAAATTCCTTCAGAAAGTAATGAATCACTTCAGGAACGGTTGGAATCACTCCGAAAGTCATTTAAGAAAAGTTCGAAAATTCTTCGGAGAGTATGGAATGACTCAAGAAATTTATTGAATCTCTTTGGAAAATGCTTAACCTTTCTAGAAAATTTGTAATCGCTTCCGTAAGAACTGAATTATTCTGGAATGGACTGCTCTTCACAACACTTCGGAAAGAACTTTATCAATTCTCTCAAGTTTGAAATCACTTCCTCAAGAACAAGTTATATTTTAATATTGTGAGGATAAATTGGCATGAGCATGATTGACTGCACTTTTACGAAAAATCCCTGGAATGTTCGATAAAAGGGTTGGGATTGCAGCAGGATTCGTTGTGGCAAACGCTATGCTGAATTGATGTCGTAACGATTCAACAGCGCAAAGAAAATTTGGTTTGAACCCACGGTCTTCTGCTCAACAAGCAAAATTGGTCGCCACTAGACCACCGAGCTCTTTATATTACAAAACAATTACGATCATATTTCTGTTCAATTTGTTGTTACTATGATTCGATCCCGGCGACGACGTCACCGACGACTACAGCAATTGCTCTTGAGAAGAAATTGATATGTATTTCCAATCAACACGTCCTCTTAAAACTCAAATATTACTTCTTTAACGTACCCGCCTTTTTAATTTTCATACGGTCAAAAGTATAAGGTGCTTGGGTTCTAACGTACGATCTCCTGCTCAGTAAATAAAAACGATCGCTCTAAAGCCACCGTGCCCCGTACAAGATTCAATCCTCAATCGTTTCTTGTCAATTACAAGAA